GAATGTCATTATATCGCATACCTAAAACTTACCAATAAACTCAATGAAAGGAAAAAAGAACGTGGCAAATCTTCATTGTATCGTTCTTTTCTATCATTATTGTATGCACAGAAATTACTAGCGTGAGGATGTATTAAAGTGCCTTCTGTACCTAGGCTAAAACCTGTGGTCCACTAGGAAGGAAGAAGGGTCCGACTCATTTCCCAGATTCGACACATACTACCTCATAAACAGCTGCTGACAAAATGATGCTGAGCATGGTGGTGTCCACCTGTAATCCAGCACTCCAGAGGCCGAGGCAGGAGGATCACCTTGAGTTCAAGACCAGCCTGGCTTCCATAGCGAGTTGGGTCAGCCTAAACTACAAAGCAAGACCCTGTCTCAAACAGTATCATTTTGTTTTTTCATTGAGAAATATCAGAACCAAAGAAATTTAATATTAAGTATTCAAAAAACATTAACTATAAGGAAAATATCACTACACACTACACACTTATTATGACTTTTGTCTAGATGTCCTCCCAAAGCCTGACAGTCATAGGTGGGGCTTTTCAGAGGTGGCTGGATCTAGAGTGTATGATGCTAGGGTTAAGGGCGTGTGATTACTAAATTAGTCCACTGACCGGGCTGGCAGTTCTGGGCATGGATAATGGAAGGACCCTCCCTAGGTGTGCGTGTGGCCCACTCTGAGGGCCTGCACCCTGGATAGAATACAGTGGACAGAAAGAACTGCTGTGCTTGCTTGTCACTTGCTGCTTGCTGCTCTCTGCCTACTCTACCCTGCCATGGACTGCTTCTCCTCTGTGATGCCCTTCTGCCCTGCCACCCTCCCTTGGAGCAACCAACTACAAATTGAAACCTCTACAAACTATGAGCCATAATAAACCCTTCCTCCTTTAACTTTGGGTGTCAAGTATTCTTGTCTCAGCAACAAGAAAACTACGACTTAAAGTGAAGAAACATCGGAATATTTTGTCTTCATTAGCTCTAAAACAAAACAACTCAGAAAGAGAACATAATGCAGCTCTCTCTTCACTCTTTAGCATTCACTCTTGATGTAAGACCAGGTCCCTGCCAGCGACCACATCCTGCTTCTCTCTAAACCCAGGGTCCAAACTAGTAGGCTCAATCTTTCCCAAATCTAACACCATGAAATAGCTACTTCCTTGCAAACATTCAATTATCAGAAAAAGCAAGGATGGGTTGGGCAGTTTACTCTGTATGTTCCTCATTAAAGGAAAGGAATAATGAGAGAAAAGCAAAGAAAAGATCACTGCTGTCTAGAATATATCTTTATATATCTGAAAGGCTTTTTCTACTATTAATTCACTCCACAACCATTTTGTGTATTTACTATGTCCCAGATTTATTATAAACTCCACGAGGGATTTCTGTATGGTATTTTTGGTGCTAAGTGCTATTACAGGCATTGAGAATACAAAAATGAATAAGCCTGACCATAAGGCAGCTACCAAAACGAACACAAATTACTAAACATCAAGCAATATAACTGCTACATAAATACATGCACAAAGTACTATGGTAGTAAAGAAAAATGCATAAAGTTGGAAAAGGTTTTAGGAAGAGTTGAGCTTTAAAAGATGAATAAGACTAAGGCAGAAGAAAAACACTGCATATGCAAAAACACGTAAGTAGGCTGGGCATGTTAATGCATGCCTCTGATCCCAGCATTTAGAAGGCTGAGGCAGGAGGATCACATTGAGTTCAAGGCTAGCCTGGGCTCCATTGTCAGTTCAAGGCCAGTCTGAATGATGTATCAAGACCCTTTCTCAAAAAACAAACAAACAAAAACACCATAGAAGCATAGTAAAACACTGGTGTAGTAGGTGGGATTCAACAGAACATAAGTCACCAATAGGAAATGATGGAAAACAAGGCTGGGAATGAACTTGGAGCCACAAACTGCAAAGGTTCTTTAACTAGTGCCATTGGCCTTTGTTTTGTGGGCATTTCAGAGTGTTGTGCACTTCTTAAGCAGGGTCATTACACAAATTTAGATAAACATGGAGATTGTCAGAAAAATAAGTGAGCAAGTCCTGGTACTGATCTAGGTTAAAGATGGCAAAGACTTGAGAACGGCAGAAACTCAGAAAAGAGGTGACTATCAACGAGTTGGGTTTTGTTGTTGTTGTTGTTGTTGTTGTTGTTTCTTTTTTAACAATATAAAAAACAGCACGGATAACTGACACTTCTAGTTAGAATAGTAAGAATGATGATATCACCAACCATTAAGAATAAAGAAGAAAGTGTTTTTGTTTTAATCATTTGGAAAATTAAGACAGGATCTTGCCATGAAGTCTACGGTTGGCCTTGAATTTAAAATGTCACCTGAGCTGGCTGCAAACTTAAGATCCTCCTGCCTTAGCCTGAGTGCTGGAAATACAGGCAGGTGCTACCACACCTGGCTCACTTAATCAATTTTTCATGGATGGGGAGGCTTAAAATCCCAGTTTGAAAATAATTTGAGATGCTTTGGTGAGAGATAGATTTCTAGGAATTAGGAAATACAGCCAGAAAGCAAAGACAGAATCTAAATTCAGTTTCCAAATAAAAGCCAGCCTAGGAAGGATATGATAAGCAGAAAAAATGAAGATGGCAACACATCTAAAATCAGAATTTGAAGCGGAATAGTTGGCTGTATTCACGAATCAGGAAATGTGTCAAATAATCAGTACCCCAATGACCACAGCTAAATGCTACATACTCAAAAAATACAAAACAAGGAAAGCCAGCCAAGTATCAAATCACAACAGTAAGGACAACTCCATGGGAAGTAAACTAGTAAGGGCCAGACCACAAACTGCTAAGCCTGCACAAAAGAAATGGGCGGCCCAATGGGGGCGGGGGGGGGGGAGAGACACCCCAGGAAGAGCTCCATGAATTAACTTACTGCAGACCTCCCACCCTCCAGAGTAGGCTTTGCACTAGAAAAACCACACAGCCTAGGAGACTGATTCGCATACATTATCACTCACACTCTATTCACTACCTAGTTACCTAAAAGAGGATATAAACCCAAGCAAGTTCATTAAGCAGAGAGCAGAAGCAGGGCCTAGACACCGATTAAACAACCGTTTATCCTGGATTTCGTGTATTATTGGGCACCTTGTCTCAATTTTCTTAAAAAAAAAAAAAAAAAAAAAAAAAACACAAAAACGGAAACCGGAGATATAAGGCAACAAATAACGGGGTCACTTGTAGTTAGAATGGGACAAAGAGGTGGAGAGGAGCAGGATGGAGAGGATGCAGAAAATGTTAAGCTATTAAATGCCTCAATTTTCTGTATTCCCTGTCTACAACAGCCAACAGGAAGAACACTGCTTGGCATGTTCTAAAACAGTGCATTTTTTAACAATGCACTTTTTATATCTTCCTTACTTCTGGGGTTTTAAGATACAATAAACGATAAACGTCGAAAAACTTGACACTTGCACCTAGGTTTGTCCCCAGTGACTACACCACCAAGTAACTTAACCAAGTAGAACCAGCTTATTAGTAAAACAGACTTATTATCATGATTCCACCCGTTTTTCATGAACTAACTTCATTAGACCTTAATTTCTCCGCCTGTGAACCTAGAAGGATGCCTTCCTTACAGAATTGCTTGTGGATTAGATCATTAATGTCAAGTGCTTCATAAACTAGAGTGCAATACGAAATGTAAAAGGTAATTGTTTCTAGGCCTGACAGATTCCCCATACCTCCCCAAAGAACTAAAACACCAAGAGGTTAAATGACTACCAGTTCCTCATAAAGTCGGGTAAGGAAACCGACACCTAACCTAATTAATCTCTTCCATCACCACAAACGGCTCGTTCAGATCTCAACCAATCCCTCAAAAGCCCAATGCTTTCCCTTGATCACCTTAATCTTCTTGTTTTCAGGTAAGGGGGAGGGTGACAACCAATGAAAAGAGGGCGAGAGTAGCATAAAATGACTTGCCCAAGGTCAAAACATCGGGGTAGGAAAGCCTGGCTTGCCAACAGCCAGAGCCTTCTCTCGCTTTTTTGCCAGCCTCCGAGAAACCTCGAATGGGCCGGCCCGGTCGTGGGCCTCAGGGAGGAGCGGAAGGACGCAAGCTCCGCTGGAGTTCACGGGCGCCCCGGCCTTCTCAGTGCACAGCCCGCCCCGGTCGAGCCCCACACCCACCACGGGCCCGGGCCGCACCCCCGAGGCTGGGACCCCAGCAGTGGGCCTGGAACAGTAAGTTTCCCACCCGGCCTACACCCGCCCGCACTCCCTGCTATGCCTAAGGTCTCACGCACTATGGCGCTCCGAACCCGGCCTCTGGTCGCCGATGCGGCCGCCCTGCCCAGCCGCCCTGGCTGCAAGCTCCTCCTTCGGCCCGACCGAAAACTGAGACCTCAGCAGACTTCCTCTGCGAGCTCCGCCCCGCTGCAACCCAGGGAAGCACCCTCGGCGGGCGCTGACGGACAGCCTCCGAGCCCAATAGACACGCGCAGCCGGAAGGCAAGTGCTGACGGACAGCCCCTGAGGCCAATCAGAACACGCTACTGGCGGGGGCGTGGTCGCTACTAACGAGCCACGCCCCGCCCGCGCGGAAGAGACGCGGAGAAACTTTCCCAGAGTTCCACAGAGCTGCCCGGGTCCTCCAGTGGGGTTGAGGTGTCGGCGGCGATAGGGAAGGGGATGACTACCTTTCGGTGAGGACGAAGTGGAGCCCTGGAACACTGCTTCGTCTCAGCTCAAAGCACTCCTGTCCGAGTGGCCGCTCCGGGATAGCACATTCACCCACGTACCCCGGGCTGCGAGGCAAGAGCGCCCACCCGTGTGCTCACCACCGGCTGCCCTCCCGCCCCCTAAGAACTTCCACCCGGCTCCAGAGTCCGAGGATTCGCCCACCTCAGGGCAAAGGGCGTGATCGGGCCGAGGGCGGGGCATCCGGCAGGAGGGTCTCGAGCAGGAAGTGGAAGCCCTCGCCTCCGGCCCGTTTCGCCCAGCCCACTGGTGTCCCGGACCCTGCCGCGGACTGCTGGGACTCGAAGTCCCTCCCTCTCGCTCCGGGCCTGGCCTAAGGTGATGGCCACGCCCGGCGACCCAAGGCGCCTCTTCAGGCTAGTGCAAGAGGGCCGGCTGCGAGCCCTGCAGGAGGAGCTGCAGGCCGCTGGGGGCTGCCGGGGTCTGGCAGGAGACACCCTCCTCCATTGTGCTGCCCGCCACGGGCGCCGGGACATCCTAACCTATCTGGTCGAAGCCTGGGGCATGGACATCGAGGCCACCAACCGAGACTACAAGAGGCCTCTGCACGAAGCTGCCTCCATGGGACACCGAGACTGCGTGCGCTACCTGCTGGACCGAGGGGTGGCGGTGGACTGCCTGAAGAAGGCCGATTGGTAGGTGGATCCTGAACGACAGCCCACCTCCCCACTTGCTGCTGAACTAGATTTTCATGTACTGTGTCAACCATTCCCCTTCTACACCATAGCTTTTCTCAGCTCCTAGTTCTCTGTCCAGGCCTGCTCAACAGCGGGCTCGACCTTCTCCACCCTTCCTACCGTTTGGGGGTTAATTCTTTGGAAGAAGCAATCACTTGCCTTTGTGAGACAGAAGAAAATGTAACCAAACAATATAATCAGTAAATTATACTCAAGAATGTGATGTTCTTCTGGGGCCATCTAGCTAAGTGACTATTGCACCAGTTCCATTGCTTTGACAGTAGTACAATCTACGTGATTAGAGTTTTAGCAGTTACACTTGCAAGTGTGTGTAGAGCACTATGCGCTGTTACCACGTGTGTGGTCTTGGGGTAACCACCACCACGATCAAGATGCTTTGTTATCACACAAATCCATCCCATTTGGTTTATTAGGTTGACATCATGTTTAGTACTATGTCTGCTTTCTTAGAAATTGTGAACCTTTTAAGGCTTATAACATAACGAAATGCCTGCCTTCAAGTGATTCCTGATCTGTGAGTAAGAAACAGAGGAGAGGTGTGTGTAGCCTGGTGTGATATACTGTGCCTAGCATGCACAAGGCCCTGGATTCCATGCCCAGCCCTGTAAGGGAGAGGCTCATACAGTTACTAGAGACACTCATAGGTTTTTTTTGTTTGTTTTTTTGTGCTTACCTGGATTGAACTCAGGACCTTGAGCTTGTGAGACAGGCACAGTACCACTGAGCTAAATCCCTGGCCCAAGAGACTCCTATAAGTTAAATGAAATACATCTTCCTCACATGGTAGAAAAATAGACTTGAGAGTCGTCGATCATTTTTATTAGCTCTGTCCCCATTCGTTCCTAACCAGACTCATGTGGTTTTGTCCCCCAGGAACTCTCTCCTAAAGGTACACTATCATTTTTCCCTTGTTTTTCCCACCAGATCCTCATGTCAAGCAAAGAAGCTGCTAAAGCTGTTTTACTGCCTCCCAGACACCGATTCTGTAGGTTTTCCATCTTGTGTCAAGCATGTGCATTTCCAGGAGACTTGGCCCTCCCTTCTCCTGTCAGCAGTCTTGCATCTGATTGGCTTGTCCTCCTTGGCTTTAGGACTCCTCTGATGATGGCTTGCACAAGAAAGAATCTCGAGGTGATCCAGGACCTTGTGGGACACGGTGCCAATCCACTTCTGAAGAACAAAGATGGCTGGAACAGTTTCCACATTGCCAGCCGAGAAGGGGACCCTCTGATCCTCCAGTACTTGCTCACTGTTTGCCCGGATGCCTGGAAGACAGAGAGCAAAATTAGAAGAACCCCTCTGCACACTGCAGGTACAGCCTGCAGCTCTGTAAGTATGCAGCATACGTGTGCAGCCTGCTTCACACGTGTTCAAGTCACCTGTGAAGAAATGAAGGAATTGGAGAAATGGAGGACAAGGAATAAGAACATCCTTGGGTCTTTTGGCAGACCATTAGTTTCTAAAGCTACTGCAACTTGGCTAGCATGTCCTTCTTATGCTAGTTCATGTTTCGTGCCTCTCTGTCTTACCCTCCCTAGTTAGTAAGCTCATTCTGTTCCTTACAAAGTCTTGGACCTTGAACAAAAAACTTGGTCTCTTCCTTGAACAAGTTTCTTCATTAGCAAAATAATGACGGTAATGATCCACTGTCCTTGTAGGATTTAAGGAACATGGTTACAGAGGGCTGCCCAGTAGGAGGAGGGAGCCTGCAAAGCTTTATCTGTATTTACAGTCACTCCTCAGCACATATTACCTCAGTCAATTGCGCTACCACTGGAGTTCAGGTCAACAGCATCAGAGTCTCATAGAAGCACAAACCCTGAAGCAAACTGCACATGCAATGGATCTAGGCTGTGCATTCCTTCAAATCATCCCGAAACCATTCCACCCACTCCTATCCCTATCAGTAGAAAAATTGTCTTCCATTAAACCGGTCCCTGGTGCCAAGAAGGTTGCAGACCACTGCTTTATACGTAATGAGCACAGAATAGCTTGTTCTTTCTATTGTATCATTTTCATGTTGTTACTAAAAGCGGGAGGGGAAGAAAAGTATTTCTTCATATCCTTTCTAACATCACAGTGATCTACATTTAAATTTCATTACAAACACGGGCCCAGCTATGTTTCTTTTAGTGATAATGTCAGATATAAATTTGGGGTTTGGTTTTCATGGTGTAGTGATCTTTAATTCTGAATTAACTATTTTTAGATTATTTTAAAAGCCGAAAGATTTATATGATCTGAAGAAAAACCAAAGTACAGATTATTTTTAATTAGGGAAAAGCAAAATTGCTGTGAGAAAAGTGTGTATTAATGGACTCAGGAGTCCAGAACAAGAAATATGAAAGGTAATCTTTAGTCTTCTAGGTCATGCATTGAATGAGGACACAGAGCTTTTAGTTTCTCTGAAAATCAATGCCTCTGTTATCATATAGTCTAAGAAAAATGCATCCAGTTATCGTCTAGTCGTAGTTGGCACTTAGGGACCAAAGAATCCTTTGTAAAACTTTGTAAGTAAATAGAAAAACATTCTGTAGCTCATGAATTATTTGCTCAGCCCCTTACATACACACCCTCCTGGAAAAACAGCACCTTGCCATTCACCCAAAATAGGGGAGGACAGATAATGAAAATTTTTATTATTGAGTACAGTTTTTTGTTTTGTAGTGATACAGGGTCTCACTGTGTAGTCCAGGTTGCCCTTGAACTTGGTGATCCTCCTGCCTCAATGTCCTAAGCTCCTGAGTGCTGGAATTATAAGTATGCACCTCCACACCTGACTGAGTACAGTTATTTTTAGTAGGAAAACTAAATTCCTGGTTTTGTCATGGGTTGCTTTTAAAATATTTTCCTATTTCCTGGAAAAAAAACTGGCCTTGGAGATTTGCACCACAAAAATGGAGAGATAAGGTTAAGATTGAAAGTTTGAAGCAGGCATGTCGGTACAGGCCTATAATCCCAGCATTTGAGAGGCTGAGACAGGAGGAGCACCATGAATCCAAGACCAATGTGGTCTACATAATAAGTTCAAGGCCAGCCTGAACTGCATAGTGAGACCCTGTCTCAAAGAAAAAAATTTGCTCATAAGGATAAAATAAATGTTTGGCTGTATATATGTGAAGTAAAAATATTCTTTAGCACTTACCCAGTTAAATTTTATTTTTTTCAGAAGTAACAGCATACCAACTTCAGTTACTCCTTCCTGTAAGTCATAACTAAAAAATGGGACAGAGGGGAGTGCCAGGAAAAACAATTTTTCCCCCACAGGGACTTGTGCATGTACCAAAAACAAGCTACATCCCAGCCATGAAGCATTTTATGTACGCATTAAAAAAACTCTAATTTTCCAATTCTGTTCTTCTAGCAATGCATGGCTGTTTAGAAGCAGTAAAGGTGCTTCTTACAAGGTAAGAACAAAACTGTAAATTGGGCGAAGTGATGTGTTAATTATAACAAGGAGTTAATGTGTGTCATACAAAGGACTTGAACATTCAGAAAAGTGTAACTTCCAAAAGAAAAGCAAAGAATATAGGCAGACAACTTAAAAAATATAAAGCTGAAATAATTGAGAAACATGACAGAATTTAGTGACAGAGTTGTCTATTCCTGTATTCATTGAACATGTATCTATTCATTCAATACCTAAACCACCCGCTGGGAGCTAGGGGCGTAGCTCAGTGCTATTGCATTTACCTAACATGTATGAGGCCCCGGTTTTAAACCCCAGCACAGTCAGTCCAGCAACTAAGCAAGAAGATTTTACAGGATGCTTTTCAGGGTGGTACTGCTGGTGGCACTGCCGGGAACTGATTAGTGCAAACTAAACGGCTCTGGGGAAAGATGATCATTACCCTCTTGGACATGTGCCCGTCAGACGTCTTAGTAAGGCGGTTAGAGACACAGGGGCAAAGACACATGTGAAGGTTGTACACCGAGAGCTGACATTTGAAATGAGAAATGTATGAGAATTCTGGGCATGGTGGCACATACCTGTAATCCCAGCACTCAGGAGGACGAGATGGAGAGATCAGCGCAAGTATGAGGCCAGCCTGAATTATATAGTGTAACGCTGTCTCAAGAAAGACACACACGCACAAATGCACAAGTGTATGACCCGAGGAGATAATATATAGTTAGAAAAAGACACTTAGCACTGAGTCCTGAAAACACTGCCATATGGAGGACTTGCCTGCTGCAAATGGTAGCATACTTGGGTTGCCTTTAAATTTATAAATATTTTTCCTTATTTAACACACAACTTTTTTGAATGCCTTCACATGTAAGGATCTGGGTGATAAAATATACACAGTTCTTCCTCTAGTGGAGCCTATAACCCAGTGTCTTAGTTACTTTTCTCCTTGCTGAGATAAAATAGTGGTACCTAAATTGTTTCCATGAAAAAAATTAATGAATTCTGCAATCAGAATAGTAGAAAGAATTAAGTGCATGAACCAAAGTACCACTTACCTGACAACCAAAGTTAAAGGAGGAAAGGCAGGTGTCCTTTCAACCAGTCAATCCTCGTCTGCATGAGATACACTCATAAGTCTGTTATGTTTTTTTTTATTGGTACTGAGGATTGAACTCAGGACCTTGCGCTTGCTTGCAAGACAGGAGGTGGAACACAGCTAAATGCCCAGCCCTGTTTGTTTTATATTGACTATTTTTTGCATACTTTTTTATTTAGAAGGTTATATTTGCCTTTGATGTTTGTTTCTAGTGAAATCTAATAATAAATTTTGGTTCTCTTACTAATTCGTGTTTATTTTATTGGTTAAAAAAACTAATTTTGTGCTATAATCTGTAAAAACTTACTGTGAGGACATTAAATGTAATTTTTATACTTCTCCAGAACTCAGTGATAGTCTTTTATAATACAAAATGGACATGTCTGGGTCACTGAGACTGAATAACAAAGAACTGCCCGAAGATCTGAAAAAGAAAAATCTGGGAAAGAGGAGAGATGTTAGCATATTGGAGAGGAAAAGTCTGTGTTATTAAGTGAAAAGACAAGACATCTCTTTAATGTCAACTATTCATCATACACAAATGATAGAATTTGAAACAAGAAACAAAAATTTAAAAATTCCAGTCATGGTCCATGATTATAATAATTCTGTGGGTAATGTTTACAGAGTTGACCAACATCTAACAAGCTATCTTGTAATCAAAAAGCAAGGAAAAAATATTATTATAAAATATTTATGTACCTTCTAGACCAAATAATATGGAACCCATTTGTTTTTTATTCAAAACAAGGGTGTTCAAAAAGTCTAATAGACCAAAATAATTGAAAAATGCAGGATAGCGAAACGACAACCAGAATGTCCATCATCAATGTCTTCATCATTACATTTAGTGGGTAATCATTTTCTTAAAATTATACCACCCACAGGAAAAAGGAAAAGCCAACACGACAGTGCATATGTTGTTCAGAGACAGGTAATAATGCAAAAAGAAGCGGCAAAGAGATTAGATACTACTGTCAAGATGGTAACATTTTAGGGCCAGGGATTTAGCTCAGTGGTTCTGCCCCCTGCCTTTGCAAGCACAAGGACCTGAGTTTGACCCCCAGTACAAAAAAACGAAAAGATTGTAACATTTTGTTTGGATTGAAGATTTTAAGATCCACCATACACAGAAAAATTATTGAATCAATTTGATAAAATTGTTTTTATACTATTTTTTTCCAGTACCGGTGATTGAACTCAGGACCTTGCATTTGCAAGGCAGGTGCAGTGCCACTGAGTTAAATCCCTGGCTCTACTATATTTTTTTAAGAAAAGCATCTTTATCAATACATTTTAGATATCCATAATGGTGACATCATAGGGAGTTTGTACCAGTGCATGATATGTCTTGCTTTTTCCCCACTCCCCTCTTATGTACAAAAGCTTTGTTTCCATTTTTTCCTTCAGTTTTCTTTTTTCTCATTGAGTTTATTGGTACTTTTCAGGTACACGGTACAGTCACATTCATCATTGGGCTCTTGCACCTTTACGTGATGTGTCTTGGTTCTCACTTTTTCCTCATAGCCCTGCTTCTCTTCTGATCCCTTCTTTCCTTTCTCCCTTGTTCACCTTCTCATTTGAACATTTTCTTCCCATTTCCCATTGTCTGTTGTACATTTTAGTCCTTATTTCCACTTTCAGTTTCTCACAGAAAAAAATGCAGTATTTAAACATATTATAAAAATTAGCAAAAACAAGTTTTTGTCATCCTGTAATTAAATAATTGGACTGTGGGTAAATGTTTTGAGCAGGAGTGAATTTTTTCATTGATATTGGAAAAAGGATTGGTTGCTATGGAAGATGATGGAGCCAGGCAGGCGTCAAGATGAACATTACAAAGCTGTTTCTAGTTAACTTGGTCTTAAAGGGTAAAAGCTGAGACAGAGGGAAAGATATAGATGTTGTGCATAGTTTGGCTACAGAATGGAGAGGTTTGGGTTATGAGCGATAAGGGAAAAGTAGTAACAAATACCATTTAGCTTCCGGCTTAAGAAAGTGGAAAAGCAAAAGTGCCATCAGATGGGGTAGAGGAGGGGAGAGAGGTCCTAAAGACAGAGCTCAGTGTAGATACTGAGACGGGGCAGAAGGAGAGAGCTCCAGAGCATCTGTAAGGCTTACAGTGTACCTGGGTGATCAAGTATCAGCAGTCCCTTGAGTTTGAAGTGGTGAATGTTCACATGCAGTTGTTTTTGGTTTTGGCTGTAGGTGCCAGTATGAACCAGACTGCAGAGACAGCTGTGGTGTCACCCCCTTCATGGATGCAATTCAGTGCGGTCACATTGATGTAGCAAGGCTGCTCCTCGAAAAACAAAAGGTATTGAAATAGTTGTTTTATTTCTTTAGTTCTTCCTACAAATCTTAGATCACAGGATAAACAGAACACATCATTCTTCAAATCCTGGTTTCAAATCCCAGCTCTGCCAAGTTCCCCCAGGGCGGCCCTTTATCTCTTTAACCATCAGTGTTTACCAGTGATTCCCGTCTGTAAAATAAGACAAATTTCATTTCTTCAGAAGGTTCCTACAAAGACTAAATAATATCATGTACATACAGTGGCTAGCAAATTCCCTACTTAGTAGACAGTAATGCTTTTAATAATAACAGACTGCTCTTGGTAGCTCTTCTGGTACCATAGGTTGATGTACTGCTCCTAATTATATTTTTGGCTACAATCCTTTGCAAATCAGACAAAATCTGTATGCTTTACCCAGAGAAATGTGTATGGACAGTGGAGGTATATGGACCCATGCTTTGTAGCTTCTGTACTCTCCTCTCTCTCTCCCTCCACCCCCAGGCCTGCTCTTCAGCTGAGGATAGCCTGGGGGCCCAGGCTCTGCACAAGGCAGCAGTCACTGGGCAGGTTGAAGCCATCCGATTCTTGGTGTCGGATCTTGGCGCCAATGTAGATGTGAGAGCAGCAACAACCGGTCTCACAGCACTTCATTACGCAGCTAAGGTTTGTCTGTTGTTCTGATGGTGTTCCTTCTTACTTAGGCTTACTTTGCACCATTGATAGCTCTGTAGTCCTGCTTCCTTTAGCTCCATCTTTATGGGAAAAATTACCCATACTCCTGAAAAGTCACAATTCTAGGAAGTCCTATATCCCTTTCAGTAGAAACCTTTGTTTCTAAGCAAAAACTGAAAAAATCTTTTATTCTATGGAATGCCTGGCCCATATGCCCCTTCCTAACATTTTTGTTTTCAGGAATAGTGTAGACCCATTGTATAAAATTCCTAGCTCTTTATCCTTACCTTGGATTTCAGAAGTTAAGGTCTTTAGCTGAGGCAAGAGACTTGCATTTACTGGTCTCACCAGTGTATAAAGCATTGAAGATGTTCGAAAATTTTTCACTAGAGAAGGAGCCTTTTTAAGTGCTAAAAGTCTTGAATGTATCTCTTTATTATATAGTGTCCACTTGCCTTTACTTATTTTTCTAGAAGCAGGAATACATTGTTTTCTGATGAACTGCACTCTCCTGTCTAATTTCCCCATTATGAGCAAGTGGAGAGATACGTAAGGATAGAGTAAGAATCTTATCCATGGCTATAGGGGGAGAAAAGCTAGTGTTTACTCCATGGAAAAATTGAGCCTTGATTTTGTTCTCACTATATACTAACACACCAACTGGCTGGATAAAGAGTCTAAGTTACTTTATATATAATGCTGCCTGCAACAGGATTGTCTTTTCTAAGGAGTTACAGTCTTTTCAATTTATCTCTCTTCTAAAGATTTTATCAAAGAGTATATTTGCTCGGGAAGTTTTGGAATTGTGAGTTCTGTAAAAACTGCAAGATTTATACTCTTTATTTTGATGGAAATCCAACTGTCTTAGGTCAGTAATGCGGTCTACAAAATTGATAATCTGTATCTCAATAATTAAATGTTATCAATATACTTAATGAATTATACCATAATTGAGAATGATATAATGAGCTTTCTTTAAGGTAGGAAAGTTCAGCTTTAGGAGTTAATGTTTTAGGAGAAGGAGTATGTACTAGAGTTTGTGTCTAAAGACTTGCTTCTGTCCTCATCACAGTGGTAATGAATGTATTTCAACACTCAGGAAGGACATACAGCTGCAGTTCAAACTCTCTTATCCTTGGGTGCTGACATCAGTGCTAAAGATGAAAGAAATCGATCAGGTATTGACTAAATAATACATGTTCTTTTATATCAGAAACATTGGTTTGGGGCTAGGGTATAGCTCAGTGGTAGAGCACTTGCCTAACGTGCAAGGCAGTGGGATATAATCCTCACCACAAACAAAACAAAACATAAACATAATTTTAATATTATTTTTCCAGTAGCGCAGCAACTTTTCCTTTAAAGTAAGTTTTCCTGTGTTTGCAAAAGTATAAAACTGTAGGGCCAGGGATTTAGCTCAGTGGTTCCAGCACCTGCTTCGCAAGCACAAGGACCCAAGTTCAATCCCCAGTACCAAAAAATAAAAATAAAAAAGTATAGAACTTTCTTACTGCCATGAAATGATGATTACAGCTTGTTACTTACCACCCTAGTTATTACTGTTGTTTTATTTTTTTATTTTTTATTTATTTTTTGGTACCGGGGATTAAACTTGGGTCCTTGCGCTTTCAAGACAGGCAGCAGAGCCACTGAGCTAAATCTCCGGCTCTACTGTTATTTTAAACCATAGCAAGATACAATGTATGTGGCAGTTTTGGTCTGATCCCTGAAGATACTTGCTCTCAAGATATTGTATAAATGTCAGGCTTAGAAATATATTCTTACAGAGGTTTTTTTGGTTTGTTTTTAGGGTTTTGTTTTGTTTTGTTTTGATTTTTGGAGTTTTGCAGGGCACTGGTTTCTATTTTTGCTTTCTATGCTTGGGATCAAACCAAGGGCCTTGTGCACGCTCTACCCTTGAGCTATACTCTCAACCCTGCTCAGAGCTAATTCATTAGACTTGGATTTTTTTTGCCTAAAATGTCTTTATTTTAAAAACCTATACAGTTACAATTTGATAAAAATATTACCACCAGATATCTATGCAGCAACAGAATAAACAAAAAGTACAGTTAGAGGTTATCCAAAATAAATTTACAAATCTGAAAGTTGGAATACATATGGGTTTTTCAAACAGAAGATTTTTTTCTCTTAAATATCCAAGATACATTTCTTTTGAACCTGACAACCTCTTGACAACTTGACAAATAAGTGCTTCTATTAACTTGAAAAATAAAATTGCCCTCAAGCCATTCAATGACTAATATGGTTTCTTAAAAAAGGCAAATAAACCAATGCTTTAATGCCTACCTATTACCTAAGGTGTGAAGAGGAACAAGTTTTCTTTTCAAAAAATAAAAAATTGGATCTTCCTATTTGATTTAGTTTTGATCAGTTGTAATCTATTCAGACCATTTTCATAATACATCGCAAGCCTGAAGAGTTTGGAGGTGTTAAGATACAAAAAACTTCTTTGGTCCTTAGATAGAGGTACCAGGCCATAAATCAGTGCAGTGGGACACACAGCTGGGGTTGCTGCTTCTCCTACTGACCTGCACACGGATGTCCTTGTTTCTCCCAGACACTGGCATTTCCTGTCCAACAATAATAGATTTTTTTTTTTGGATGTAATGAGATTTGTTTTCAAATGCCTTAAAAATAAAAATTCATGTATAGTACTACAAAGAATAGTTTTCAAAAGATCAGAGAAAAGCACTCTGTGATATACCACAGGTATTATTACTGGTAAATGTTTCCATCTGTTTTGGTCCCCCCCCCCCGCCCGCATCTGGTTTTTGTTTTTTTGTTTTTTTGGTTTTTTTTGGTATGGAGGATCGAACTCAGGTTCTTGTGCTTACAAGGCAGGTGGCAGCACCACTGAGCTAAATCCCCAGCCCTCCCCCAGCCCTCCTGCATCTGTTTTTAAAAGCTTAGCTCTCACTAAGCATTTTTTTTTTTTTTTTTTTTTTTT